CAGCAGTATATTGCTTAATGGGAAAATAAATACACAAAACAAGGACTTGGAAAAACATAAAAAACATCAACCATTAAGGAAAAGACCTTCGTTTGTCTGTTTCAGTGAAACAAAGTATTTATCAAGATAAAAAGGTTTATGAATAGAATTCTGTGGAAAGGGATGGCTCTCTTTTCTGTGGAAAAGTCCTGACTCACTGTAGAGAAAATGGGGAAGCAGCAGAAAGCAAAAAGGATCTTAATGTGCTGTACTGTGGATATTTGGAGACTTATGTCTGTTTATTCATAAAAGCAGGGAAAGAGTTGGAACACGTCAGGATTTTATCTTTCCTTCACGTGGCCTCTAAGGCGAGAACATGAATATAATGATCAGGCCTTTCATGAACCTAAACAGGAAAAACCTGTTCCTGAGATCCTCTGCATTCTGACTTCCAAGAAGACACCTAACAGCACTCTCCAACCACAGTGCTTCAAAGAACTTAATCCTTTAAAGCAGCACTGCTGCCCCACAGGAACTCAGAAATCGCTTTGTTCCACACGTGCTCTACAGTTTAATTTTCTTCATTGCTGGCTCAGTTCCACCCCGCGTGGATCACGAGGAGCTGTGGTGATGAACACCAAACTGCTGGAAAAAATCTCACCCCATGCCTACAGCTCACCTGGGGGACTCTAAAATTCATGTATCAACATCATGTTACTTAAATAGAATTACATTTTTAAAAGCAACCCAAGTGACCTAAAGTAGTGACTTGAGAACGAATTCAGCACTGAGCTTCTGAACTCCTTCAGAAAATCAGTTGCCTTGAAGGTACTTCAAGTTGAGCTCACACATTAGAGTCTCAGTCACTTAGGAAATCTTGGTGGAAACCTGTAATTTAGATGAACAGCAATTTATCTTCCTGCCCTTTTAAAGCAGCACAGAGTATTTTGCAAGCCAAAAGGTGAACAATTTTGGATTAAAAACAGAAGTACTCAAACTCATCTTCTATACTGTCAGATAATGTGATTTGATTCAAAGTTTTATCTACTGCATCACATTCCTAACAGAATGAGAAAACTTTCAGCACACATAGGGAACACTGTAGTTGATTTTATTCAGCTTTATACAGAAATGGTGACACCAAAAGAGTTCAAAAGGATTGCTGGAGGGCAGCGGAACAAGGACGAGCCCTTTGTCCTGCACATCTCATTACATAAAAAAGAAACCACAGAACAAAGCGTGCTTTTGATTCGAAAAGGCAGATGAGTGACACGCTGAATTTGGCATAATAAATGGAGAATACAACTTCAAATTCCAGTGAAAGTGGATTTTGAGTGTGAAACTCTTCAAAGCAGCTCAGTGATGTAAGAATTCAGTATTTCTCATCTTCCCACCTCCTTCCACACTGCAATGTTTAGCAGAGATCTGGACACCTAAAGGAAACACTACATAAATTTCCCCAGGGAGCCGTGGCTGGGGCCATGCACACGGTCTGTGCCGGGAATGAGCCTTCAGATGCCCAGAGCAGGCAGTGCAGGCTCTGCATTCCCAACGAAATCACTCTCCTGAAAAAGTCCTTGCGTTTCCCTTGCCACAGATATTTAACTTTGCTGAGCAGCAGTGCCTGAACTGCAGAGGGAAGCCCAGCCTCGGTGAGATTGGAAACCCTCCAAGGCCATTGAGCCCAGCCTGACCCACCCGGGATGGGGAACCCACCACGTCCCTGGGCAGCCTCTGGCACAGTCTGAGGCCACCTCCTCTTGTCCTGTCCCTTGTTCCCTGGCAGCTGAGCCCAGCCCACCCTCCTGTCAGGGAGTGTAGAGACACTGAGAGTCCCCTCTGAGTGTCCTTTCCTCCAGGCTGAGCCCCTCCAGCTCCCTCAGCTAGAACAAGGCAGGCTTTGCTGGAACAGGCCCAGATATGAGATTATTTCTCTTTGACTGACACAGGGCATTGAGTGGTGCGAGGTTCAGTTTTGCTGCTCACCTGCTGTGTGCCAGACCACCTGGAACGACTGAACGCTGAGCCTTGCACTTGAGGGAAATGGAACATCACCCGCTGAGTAACCAAAGCCATTTCTCACAACCCTCTGGCAGTTTCTGGGAGTACTGTCATCCAAAACATGACTCAGATATCCCCTTTGGCCCATGAAACTTAAAGTCTTAAAAAATTAAACAGAGAGATAAATATATACAAACACAGTGCATGTTGCTGATTACAACTTTGTTTCACCAACCACTCGAGCTTTGAATAAATTAGGAAAATGAAGCAGCTACCTACCTCTTAAAAAAGCCTCCCTCCAACTTGATGCCTGCCCAAGCTTCATGTTGCATTTTTACTGCCTTCTATCTTAAAAAACCAGAAAGCAGTATTTCAGTGCTCTTTTCCCAATGAATGCTCTAAAAATATGACCTATCAAAACCATTTTAAAAGACTTACTAAGAGAAGAAAAGGTGCAGCAAAATGAGAATGGAAAGTGATGAAGTACGTGTGGGAAGCAGCACTCAGAGGTGACTCAATGGCTTCCTCTTTACTAAGGAAAAGGGTCAGAAGCAGTGGCTGGAGACTGGTGCAGAGGCAGCACAGGACTCCTGGTCCCGTGTTCTGTCAGTGATCTCAGGTATTGGATGCTTCACAGCCATCCTCACTCTACCAACCTACTTCAGTTTTAAACATCTAACCCTTGCCTGACTGTAACTGATGGGCACAAAGAGGCACCAACTCCTGCTGCAGTCTGTTACCTCAGTATTTATTTCACTCAAAAAACATCATAAGGCATTACTTAAATTTAAAAAAAAGATCCCAAACAAAGCTTAGGAAATAACAGGAACTCATTCATACACATGGAAAGAAGATCCCTCTTTAATAACATTCAATTCCCACTCTCTCATTTGATGTGTACAATGGACCATTAACTAACTTACACCATGCCTTACTTAGGAGTGTTTTATTTGCATCTTGCTCTGAAATAGATACAATTTCCTCACCATCCCACTCTTGCAAAGTACTGGAAGGTACATCCTTTTCTCCAAGAAAGCTGCTACTTTTTAGTTTAAACAAACAGATGTGGAAGTTCATCCCTCTCTCATCACAGACTTACCACAAAAGCTCAGCTCCAAACCAGCATCTACTTCCTGTTCAAAATCAATTGTTTAGCTCCTTTTCATCATGAGCAGAACTACAACATCATGTGACTCACGCAGATCTCATCCAGTAAATAAAAGCCAGAATTAGTATGTAAGGTATTCTAAGTTCTCTTTTTAAGGTCATTCACAAGCTATTTGTCTGTCTCTAGCAATTCAGCTCCTTGGCTAAACCCAACTCCAGTAAAAAGCTGGAGCTGACCCTGTAATTTTGGAAATGAAGTCACAAACCACAGTAAATGAAGTGAGTGCTATTCCTATTTGCATTCAATATTGAACATTTAGACATCAAACTCTGTGACACGTCCCCGAAGAAAATCATCAGGAACCAAACTAGAATTTTAAATAACAGTTTTGCAATACAAAATGCTGACAAATCAGAGAACCAGAAACACCCCAGCCTTAATCCCCTTGGGCAGCTTCCAGCAGGGCTGAGGAGCTGCAGAGCAGGAGGGGCTCGGCTGCATCCCCTGGACTGCTCTAACACCTAGGACTGAACACAGCTCAGACACTTGCTGCCACAAGCTGGTTCCCATGCCTTCCAGCAAACTGGAAAACGAAAAACAAAAAAAAGGTAAACACAACCTGTCAGATCTCCCATCTCCACAACAACTCCAGCATCGCTGTTCTTATTAAACACATTCATTTGATCTGGCCCAGCGTGTCACTTGGTCTCTGTAAACAGGACAAGTTTAATTGTTTTCATTGCCTGGCTGGACGCATTTCAAGACATGTCAGCTCTTTGTGGGCAACATTACAGCTTTATTGTTGTTTCAGATCATAGAGAGGCGGCTATAAAAGCCGAGAAATTCAATTATGCAGATGAGATGCAATAGCAATAGTAACTATGAAAGCTGCACATTTCTATTTGTGATGAGTCACTTATTTAGAACTGAAACTCTTTGATGATCCTCTCTCATTTGGAGATCTCCATCACCCAGCACTTCCCTGATCAACTGGTGAACATGAGTCTGGGACCCAACAGGATTTAACATCTAACATTTAACTGCAGAGAAACTGCACATAAAATCATGAGAGCATTTCTGCCATGATATTAGAGAATCAGGCTGGTTTACTCACCATCAGTTCACTGCTAGACATGGCTAAGAAATCCTTACAGGGTGACTGCAATACCCAGACTGCAGAAACAGCAAACAACAACTATTTCATTTGTCAGCAAAAGATTTGGAACAATCAATCAAGCTTATGTCCCATCCTCAGCAAATGAGGTTTTTTTCATGTTTCCTTTTTCTTATGAAACATCCAAATACAACACTGGATATGTTTTCTCTTGGGTAAATATAGTAAAACCTATATAAAAATATGTTATATAATAATATTTTCTATAAAAATATAGAAAAACCTCACTGTTTATATAGAAAAACCTCCCACCTCCTTGGTGTAAGTGCTGTTGTAAGCAGACTAAGGATTCACCTCTTCCATTGTGGTGCAAATCCCAAACTGCAGTGAGTGCAAAAACACCCCATGAACAAAGCTGGAACCTCTGCATCATTCCACCAGATCTTCCTCATCAGTTAAAATTCATGGAAAATGTTGTTATGGAGAGAACAGTTCAAGGAATGACATCCCACACAAAAAAAAATAAACTGGGAGTTCTTACCAAGGAGTCTTACTCAGACAGAAGAAGCATTAACTTGAACAGACAACTACACAGAATAAAACTCACTGCTGGATTAGCAGGGACCATGTGAGGGAGCTGACTGCTGTAATGGTGTTCAGCCTTATCAATGTTACACTATTCCACCCCACTGTCACACTAATATGGACACAGATGCTTCCAGCTCCACTGCAAAAGGCAGAACACACATCTTGGTGGTGGAATACAACATACCAAAATTCTCAAGAGCCAAAAAAATCTTAGCATGTATTTTTTTTTTAATTGAACTATTTAACAAGTTTAAAGCATATAAAAGTAGAAAACTGTATCAGAAAACCAGAAAGCTATAGTATCAGAAGTTGAAATAGTGTATGTCATTTTCATTTAAATAAATTTATTAGCTGTGTCCACAATTAAAAACTAAAATCCTCAAGCTAAGTCAGAAGTGGCCAATTGGTATAAACTCATGTCACTGATCTGGGGGGACACAAGTGAAGAATGCAATTACATTTAACTCCTCCTAGATGTGCATTGTTTCATTTTTCCTGGCACATCTATTTCCCACACAAAAGGCAAGTTTCCCCCAAGTTTTTAAAAAGTTGACTTTATTGGTTTTAGAAAATGTGTCATGACAGTTCCTCTAGTTGGTCATTAAGTGCTTGTAACACCACGGACTCAGCACAGGATGGGTGGCACAGGGAGGAGGAAAATCCCTCTTCAGCCTTACCTGCATTCACAGCCCTCCAGCAACGTTCAAAAGCAAGGACAACCCCACTTTTATGTCAAATTGCAATTTTTAATGTTTTCATTAGAATAGTCTTTATATCACTCTCCAATAGAAGAAACAATATAACTAACAGCAAACTTTAATACAGGAACATGCTCCAAGATTAACAACCCAAAATGAAAACAAAATGAAATTAATGTAAAATGTAAATCACATATAGTACAATTGAAGTGTCCAAAACAATTTAAATAATTTTAAATATTTTATTTTTTTAACTTGCTACAAATGCTTTATACAATATTTCAACATAAAGTCCCCATAACAGAAATGTAACAAAATGGGAATGATAGTGAAAGTGAAAGTTAAAGTGGCACAAATTCACCAAACAAGTATTAAACTACAAATTTTAAAGAGGTAGATTACTTTTTAAGAACAAAAAATAAAAGGGGTGTCTGTATAAAGAAACTAGTCACTTTCCATCCATTCTGTCAGTAATTGTGAAAGCTCTATGAACACGTGACAAACAGTATTTCCATAAAAAGCTGTTATGAACAATAGACCAATTCATTGTCTTAAATTAGAGGTGTACAACCTTTTAGAATAATTATATATTTCATTTTCAAAATATGCAGGTCTGCAGCCCTGCTCTAGCCTTCTTATCCATAAAAAGATACACTGCATCCATTACATATCTGGTGTTTAGAAATTCATCACTGCTATATAAAGTTTTATTTGTATGTGTAAAGAACTTGGAAAATCCATAAAACATCCAAATCAGGCTTTTTTTTCCACTGTGTACTGAGAGTCTGAAAGCCTCTGAACGTGAGGAGAAGGTGGGAAGGGAATTTTGCCTGTGCTAAGTCGGCCTCTACTGACTCATTTAGACAAAAGGCTTTAAGAGACCCAATACATGACAAAAATACTTGGAGTGCAGCAATTGCTGGCCCTGAATGTACACTGATTTCTGGACAGGCTGAAGGAACCTTTGCCAAGCACAGAAACTGAACTCAACGCTACCCACAAAGGCGTGGACAAAATCAAGAGCAAAACATTTGGTTGTGTTCATCCCACTATTCCTTTGGATGATTTCCTGTGGGGGTTTCATTTGTTTTTAACAGAACCCTTGGCTTTTATCTGAATCATCCTGCACGTGTCAAACACAAAGTAACAAAATCTAGGCCTGGCACTGAGCATGAGCAAGAAGCCTGCAGGCAATTTTATGGCTGTGACTCAGCTTCTGCAGGTTCTGCAAGCTTGGATTTCACATCCCTTGGCATAGTGCTTATCCTAAGATGAGCATGCAATAGCTCTACCATGGCATTAAGGGATTTTTTTTGTTGTTTTTACAGGAGAGTCCTAGAAAATAGGAATTAAAAACAAAACGAAACTGAAGATAAATGACGAAACAATTTGTGAAGAAGTATGTTTTCACAGAAAAACTGAAAGGTGAAAAACAAACTGGCAGACAAATACACATAAAGCAAGTCTTGAAAAAATATTCAGATTTCCTGGAAAAAAATCAAAACCCAACAGTGCCTACACAGAGTAGAATCAAAGTTAAACTGTGCTGATATTCGTGTACGAAGGCAAAAAAATCCTTCATACTATATAATTGATATAAAAAGAAGTTGACTACATAATCTAGATTTATGAAAGTTACTTCAGAGACAAAAAGAATTCCCAAGTGTAACTATTTGTTAAACTGATAAAGACTCCAAGCAGTCAAATTAAAGCAGTATTTGGCTGGTATTTGAGCCAGTCAGGCAAACCTTACCACAGGTCAATTGGTATTTCCCCAAATACTACTGAACAATTCCCACTTGCACCCATTTCCAAGTACTTGGTTATTTTGCCTGAGGTCAAATGATTCATTTAGATGGGAAGATGTGGTGTTTTGGCTTCTTACTCTACTGATCTGTTCTGGCATCATTTAAATACAGTTTCAAACATAACTAAGAGCAGCTGATGAGAATTAACATGAAGATGTTTATGTCCCGAGGGAACGGGCCTGGTAGACATTTCTTGTTCCTAAAAGGCATTTTTACACCATTAGTCTCCAAATTCCAATAACATTTTTCTCCTTCAACACATCCTAATTTGGGTATGGACTATTTTAAGTTAAATTCTCCTCCAGCACTCGGGAACAATTCTGCTATATGGAACCTTTAATTCACAAAGTATTTCCTCACTATTTGCACCTCGAGATGTTCACTGTAAGACAAACAAACTGTGAACAGTTTGGATTTTGACAATGAACAGATCCTCCTCTCCTTGTTCTGACAGAGGCTGCCAGTTCCTCCCCCTCCTCCTCTAGCAATGACTTCGATTAAAAACCCCCTACCCTTGGCCCTAAACCTGGTGTTAATCACAGCCCGGTGCTGCAATTACCAACCCCGAAAGAACTCTTAATTACCAGTGAGCTTTGTGAAAGTTCCTCAGCAAAGCAGAAGCCCCTTTCCAAGGAAAACAGGGCAGGAGCAGGGGAACAAAGGTTATAAACACCGTGCAAAAGATACTATTGATTGGAGAGACTACATGAAGACGTAAATCGGGACTCAGGCACGTAGATTAAGATTTTTATTTATTTATTGAAGGATTACCCTTTCTTGTGATTAAAATGCTTCTTCTCAAAAAGAAATAGAACTTTAATTATAAAGTTTTATAGTGAAACATAAAAGCATGATACTTCTAACAAATTTACATGTTCATGTAACTTTTCTTACATGTCTATTTCCCTTATATTAAGTATTTAATTATCTCAGTCCATATGCACATACATTTTTGAAGTATTTGGTCATGGTTTGTTTCTTTTATATATATATATGCAGAGAATGCTTTTTATTACAAACCAAAGCAAGTTATTTTAGTGAGTAAAGAATGCAGTCATGTTTTTTAACTTAGTGAACCGCCATAAATAAATCAAGAATGATTCTGGCCTACCTTAGAAGTCAGATACCAAATACAAGGTCAGTGTCTCCAATAACATTGAGTTTAATGACATTAAGTTTATTTGCACTCAGGTATTGACATTTTTTTCCAGAGTTTTCAATTCAGTTTATAATTAAAGACATTCTCTATACAAACCGTGTATTGTTTCACGACATGACAAAATGCATCAAGTATGTACATCATACCTCAGCATCAGTATCTGCTAATTCATGTTTTAGGAAATGCAACTTTTTTTTTTTTATTGAAGCATGAGAAACTCAAAAAAAAAAAAAAAAAAGAAAAAAAAAGGAATAAAAAGAAAACCAAGAAAATTGGCAAAACAGCAAGCAACGTGTTCCTGGGTTGTTTCAACTTCAAATTAAATGCTTACCTGAAATCTTTTAGTTCTTGCTTTGTACTGCTTTCATCTCTTTTGTTTTCTGCTGCCTCTGCATTTGCTGCCTGCTGCAGGCTCCGAGTGATTGGTCCTCCAATCCTCTCTCTAGATTTTACACTGAACCTGTCTGCCTTTTTCTTACTCGCCACAGATTTACTTGGCAAAACAGCTTTATTATTCCTTTGTATTCTGACGTGCAATTTCCGGGACGCTTTGCTGGAGATTCCAGAGGAATTGTTCTTAGAAACCACCTTAGTTTTTTTCCCATCAACATGGGACATTTTAGACACTCTTACAGGACTAGAGTTCCTCAACGATGAAGATGAATTTGGCTTTTTAGATCGTATGGAAGGAACAAATTTAACGTTTTGTTTGGACTTGAAGGAGGCAGAGGGGAGCTGGAGCTGTGCAGGTCCTGAGGTTCGTGCTCTCGTCTTGCCCAGGTGAGGCTGAGTGCTCTGCATTTTGATTTCTGCATCTGCTGTTCTCCTGCGCTGGTTGCTGCCTTTGTCACTGTTGGCAGGTGAAGAAGCTGCACTTTTTTTGGAAGAATTCTTTTTGGAGGAGGGAGAGATGGGTTTTTTGGGGCAGCTGTATGATGCGTGTTTGTTCAAACTCCCAATGTAAGTGAACTCTCTGTTACAGTAGGGGCAGATGTGAGAGTCCGTCTCAGATGAATTATTTTTCAGTTCTGCCTTCTGCTGGGCAGATTTCTTTTTTTGCAGGATAGCTTTCTGGACAAGCTGGTTTTTCTTTTTCAATGCACTTATTTTTAGTTTATTGGAGGACATTTTGCTAATCTCAACATTGAAATTGAGTCTCTTAGGCTGACCCATTCGTCTGAAGGCGTTCTTCCCAGGCCCAGCAATAACCACCATGCCATTCTTAGGCTGCACTGTCTGTTTGAGGGGTACTGGATTTTTTTTAGGGGTGTATCTCTTTTTATCACTAGCAGATGCACAGGCCAGTATGTGTTTGTGTAACTCAGGCATGTTATCAACACTTTTTCCACATTTTGTGCATCGAATGGCAGTAGTAAAAGTCTGTGGGATATTGTGGGTTGTGAAGTTTGTTGCAGTAACTCCAATACCCATAGGATTACGATGGTGATACTGGAACGGAGGTGGTTTAAAGCTTGGGTAGTGTTGATTGAGGCCCATACGAACATCTGGATCTTTAGATTTCACCCCAGAAGCCATTATTTTTATAGTAGTATAAAGCTCTTCAGAAGAATCATTAAGATCTTCATCTTCCTCCTCTTTGGAAGGTTCCAAAGAATCTTCTGGCAGGCTCTGCATGTGCTCCACGTTCGCCTTACTGGGGTCAGTAAAATTCTGGGGTCTCAAAGTCCCACTTTCAAACTCATGATGTGAGCACTCTTTGTCTGGATGGAGATCCCGTTGATGCTGTTGCAAATTGCACAAAAAAGCAAATTCCTTTTTACACACTGAACAAACAAAGATATTCCCTACTCCATGAAGCAGAAAGCGATGTTCTGACAAGTCTGTTTTATCCCTAAAAAGCTGTACACAGAATTCACATTTGAAGGGCCATTCTTCAGCATGAATGGATAAATGCTTCGTTAGGTCTTTAATGGAAAGAAAAGGTGATTCGCAGACATTGCACACAAAGCTCTTGTTGAACGTTTCCTGCACTGCTCCTGATTGACTTGAAGTATGAGGATCTTCTCTTGCTTTCTGCTGCTCGCTTTCAGCTTCTTCCTGCTTTATTATTGGGAGAGAACTTTCAAGGTTATCAGCAGAGGAAACAACAGAAGAAACTACAGAAAGAGGAGGTGGAGATGGGGACGATGAGGAGGAAGAGGATGAGAAAGAGGAGGATGAGGAGGAGGAAGAGGAGGAAGAGAGCGTAGGGGGGCCAGGTGAAGCAGCAGAAATAAGAGGTTCAACAGAAGGGACAGGGGATGGAGAAGGAGAAACTGTAGGCGAAAGAACTGGTAGTGGGGATTGGGTAGTAGTGTTGGAGAGTGGCGAGGGACAGGAGGAAGTGTTAGTGGCACTGGCAGAGACATCTGGAATGGGTAAGGGCATCGTCGGGAGCAGGGGGGGAGGTGAGGTGGCCACCGTTAACACGGGCGGGCAGGGCGGCGGGGACGGGGGGTTGGTGGGCGTTAACAATGGAGGCAGCTGGCACACAGCAGGTGCAGCAGGGGCCTGTGGCACAGGGGAAGCAGAGGAGCTGAGGGGCTGAGTGTCAGTGGAAGACGATGCCGAGGGACAGGGATCTGCCTCGGGCTCTGCCGGAGGCTCCAGGGCCTTGCCGGGGCTGCCGGCGCTGTCCACGCCCAGCGCGCTGTCCAGGGCTGCATCTGTCCCGTTGTACTCGTTCAGCAGAACCTTCTGCAGCATGCACGTGGTGGGTTTCTTCTTCTTCACACCACTACACGTTGGCTGTGTGGAGTTTTCTTTGTATTCTCTAATTTCAGCATCGCTGCAAGGCTTCTTATGCACACTTAGATCTAAAACGGATTCCCAGGGAACCTGAGTCTTGCTTTTGACATCAGACCTTTGTTTCATACCACTGGATAAATCCAGTGGCTGCTGGTTGCACACGTTGCCAAAAGTCGGAGCTGCTGTCCAGTCTTTTGATATTTTATATTCTTCAAAGCAAAGAGGGCTCAAAGTCTCTTTGTCCTCCCTTGCAGTCAAGCTCCAAGCAGGTGAGTTGCTGTGGCTTTCTAACTTTGGCATTTTTGAACTCCGAATATTATCATTCCACACAGTTTTTCCCTCACCTGTTTTGACAAAGTCTCGAAGCACTGGGCTGTGCTGTGGAGAACTGGGAGGAGAGCTGGTCCTTCTTTTAAATCTGCTGGATACTGGAGGCAAAATAGGCGATGATGTAACAGACGGTCCTATTTTAGGGATTTCACTTGATGGAGTTATCTTCTTATTGTCCTGTGTCTGAAGGAGCTGCTTTAATTTTGATGACAAATAAACCCCTTTTTCTTTAGGAAAAGCTAAGCTTTCTGTTGAAATGGTAAGAGGAAGATTTAATGAACTAGTAGGAGTTATAGGTTCTGGGTCTATTTCAGTTTTTATTTTTGGTACAAGAGGAGGGCTAGCAGTTCTTCTCTTTTTGGATTCACTGCTCCCACTGCTAGAGGGCTCCTTAGCAGGTTCATTCACATGTGTTTGTGTAACCTTTAAATTTGAGGAAATTTCTACTGTGACAGGACTGATGATACAGTTCAATCCATACAAGTCTGCAGAGTTGGACTCCATCTGAATCACATCACAATTGCTAGTGTTGCTGTTGGACTGAATTTTGCCATCGATGTAGTAATTTAAATTCTCGGAGATATTGCTGGATATATCCATAAGATAGACATCATCCCCTTCACCTTCCTCTTCTATTTCTGTGTTGGCTATGTACGCACTCTGGACTGCTGGGGCAGGCTCTGTTGGGAGAGGTGGCTCTTCAGTGAAGAACCCTTTTCTTCTGACACCTTTGGGAATCAGATGACGTTCGTGAACCCTCCGCTGATGCCTGCGCATGTTGGTGTGAGTACCAAACACCTTTTTGCAGTATTTGCATGGATGCAATTCTTTGGGCTCCTTATTTTCCTCAGCAAATGCAGAGTTTGACATTTCCTGGGAAACTTTCTCAGAATCCAAGACAACAGAGTCTTGCACAAGAGTGGGAACGTTCAGGTCATCTTTAAGACCATCATCCACAATCACTTGGTTATCAGCAACATTCTCCAAGTGCTGTGACGAGGTCAGTGTCAGGAAGGGTTTCCTTTTCGGCCCGGCCTCGTGGCGTCGCTCGTGCCTGCGCCTGTTGATCTGAGTGCCGAAGGCTTTCCCGCAGTACCGGCACTTGAACGCGTGGCTCAGTGTGGAGATGTGGATGTGCATGTGGCGCTCCAGCCCCTGCTTTGTTGTAAACTTCCTCTCACAATGCTGGCAGGGAAACATGAATGTTTCCTGAACGTCACCGTTGGATTCCCCCTGTGCTTTTGGAATTTTCACCACGAGTTTTTTCTTTGGAGAGCTTTCTGGAGATTCCTCTGACGTGCTCTTTTGTTCTTCCAAGGAGTCCAACTTTTCTTCACACATCAAAGGCATTTCAGCATTTTCTTTAGGCATATTGGTATCTTCCATCTCCTCTTCATCTTCCTCTTCTTCATCGTCCTCTTCATCGTCATCTAAATCATCTGATGCACAATTTATTGCTTCTCCTTGTTTGTCTTCACTTACCACTTGTGGCTCATTGGTCGGACTGGGGATCATCAGCTTTGGAAGTACATCTTGATTTACCATTTCCTGAATCACAGCTGTTTGTTCCAGAGACAGCACAGCAGAAACAGAAGGTGTTTCATCTTCCTCTTTATGACCTGGAACACAAGAGCATAATAAAGAAAAGCATGAGATATTTTTACCAAACACTTCAGGATATGCTACACCTTTCTTCTCCTTTTTCTTCTAGCACAACATATACAGCATTCCTGACCCAACACAATACCACCACTTCTCATTTATTGACTTGTGTGGATGGATGTTTTCACCCCTGCATGCAAGCCCTACCTATGTGTTGTCAGGTATATCCATTGCTGAAGAAAATAAGGCCAGGTTGGATGAGGCTCTGAGCAGCCTTGTCGAGTGAAAGGTGTCCCTGCCCATGGCAGGGGTTGGAGGAAGATAAGCTTTAAGGTCCCTTCCAACCCAAAATGTTCTGTGATTCAGTGGTGATTCTAGGAAAACACCTTTGCTGCCAATCCTCACACTGTTGCCTAAGTGGGTACATTATAGAGCAAAAAATCCTTCTCCATTCCTTAGCTGGGCCATAAGACACCTGAACAGTGATGCATGTGTTGTGCAAGCAGAAGGGAGAACAGAGGGAAGGAATGGAAGAGTTAGGGGTCAAAAGAATTAATACTGTATTTTTTCCCCCTTGGTAATGACTTTGTTAATTAGCAATAAATAATGACCATGTAACTAAGCTCCAAAGACATGAGAATAAGGACTTTGCTATTATCTTCTAAGAGTTTGGGTTAATGTCTAAATTCTGCAGCACATTCGTTTTTCCTGTGGTCAGAGTTGTACATTTAATGACACACCTCTAATAGCCAAGTTCCTAACCAGTAAAACAACTGAGGTAAACAATATAAACACGTTCACTTTGCTACAGTAAGATAACCTGCTAATGTACTAAACATGACAAGCATCCTTTGATTCCAAAAGATAAACAGAAGGAAAAAATAAGACACTGAGAACTCACCCTCTTTAGAATCCCTCATATCTGCAGAAGTAGAATCCAAATCAATCTTTTTCTGTTTCGTATCTGCTGCCTTCTTTCCCTTGTTTTTACCTTCCTGAGTCTTCTTCTTTCCTGAGGAGAAAAAAAGCATTTATTATTCCTGCTCAATAATTTTTATTTGTCATAAATGAGTGGCAGATTTAAACCCTCAGCTTTGGAGTATAACAAATTCCTGCTTTCCTGAGGAATACAAACGACTGATTAGGAGAACAGACAGCATTCATGTAAAAAATTTCAGACACTGAAATACTTTCCTCACTTTCACAGCAAGAACAAACTACCTGTCCAGGGTTAATCAGCTCACAGCATGCACTTACCCAATGCCTTCATATGGCCACTACATTCCTCCATCTCACAGAAGTATATGGAAATTGAAAATCTCTTCACATACTATTAATCCTTAATGTTGGAAGACCTTACAAAATAGAAACCCATAGAGGTTTTCTCTAGTTGTATAAACGTTCTGAATGATGAGGAGTTCTGATAAAAGCAATGAAGTAATAACACCATGAGAAGACTGAAAGCAGCACGAGCTTGACCAACATGGCAAAGGCAGTACAGCCAAATGAGATGGAACTCTCAAACAGCCAATAATGAAGGAATTTTGCTGGGTCCTGACACAAACACCACTTTCAAGTCACCACTTCCTGTTACCAAAATGAAGCAGCATGTATTAGCTGCAGGGGATGATGAACACAAAAGGGAATTATATGCAAAGAATTGTCCAGTACTGTAAGATGTAAATAAACTGAAAACTTCATTTTGCACTGCACTACTGTTACTTTTTGCCATTAACCCTATAGATTCAGCCCTATAACCTACACAAATTATGGTAAGGGGTGTGTAATAACAAATGAAAGTTTATGGTTTTCTGATTCACTTCACTGTGGACTGTACTTCCATACAGAATACAGAAACCACCACTGAAACTCCACAGTTCCACACACAGCTCGTGGGAAGAAGTGTCCAGAAGCAGCAATCCCAACTCCTCCTTTGGCCCCTCTAACACACAAAACACTGCTTCATAACCCACTGCCATTCCCTCTGATCAGAGACGTCCACTGCACCCCTAAATCCATGCCCTAGTTAGAATCACATTCTTGCACATCACAATCCCTTCAACAAATTCCTTTTTACCCCTTGAAAACATTTTTGTATCCTAAGCCAAGATACTGAAATGTCTTTTTAAAAAATGCTCCTCTGTTCAAACTGAGAAGTTCCAAGTACACAACCCCCCCAAGAGAACAGCTCAGACAGCCCCAGCTTTAAAAGGAAACATTTGTTTTGATTTGAACAATCTAAATAATTATCTCCATTTCCTCTCAAGGAGCTAAGATCTCATAGGCCATTCCCAAATTCCAATGTGTTCCAGTTTTAGGTGAATAATAACCCTTTTTCAACTTCTTACCTAATTTAACAGATTTTAGCCTTATAACCTGACAACAGTCACTCAGACTGAATTTCTGTCACCTATGGAAAAGGTACACACATCTTTCCCAAAGTGAACTAGCAATTTGCTCTGAATATCCTCAATTATTATGTTGATGCCCGTGTCTAACCTGCCATAAAGGACTGATACTGGATTGTTTGAACAATGCAACATTCAATTGTGCTTTTCTACAAAACACCTGCAAGCTGTGAGAAGATTTAGCACATATTTGGGTGTTCACATAGACATAAGGAAGTTTAAGCACATCTTTCTTTACCTGACAGGCTACTGAATGTCCAATTTGAACACCATTTTTTATTATCATCACCTCTAATGTTCATAATTACAACTAACACTACCAAGATCTGAGTATGAAGGACATTGAAGAAGTTTCCAGAATTATCTCCTGAGTCACTTGAAATTGCTCTGGGAACGTACAGTAACACAACCCAACAGTTCCACTTCTAGGGAAAAGGTGGAAATGTAGAATTTCAACACATTCTTAGGAATCAAACATGGATCACAATACACCTCATGACAGACAAAACAAATCATACCTAATTCCCAGAACCTAAGAACTCTCAGCCTTTCTGCAGACCACTATTAGTACCTTGACCTAAAAACAACACAATTCTTGATTCACCTCTCGAGGATGAGACTGGAAACAAGAATGGAAAGGTTTGGTGCACAGGCCCCTCTCACCTGCCAAACATGGCCCATGCTCAGACACAACTTTTCCCCCCACACTGCAGTGTCCAAGGTATTCCAGATGAAGTGACAGGGCAATTCTGCATCTAACTCTACAGCAGCCCTGAATTTCAGCATAACAACAGGTTACTGTCAAAGTCTTTAAACCTTTAAACCAAGACCCAATTATTTTTTCTAACAATATTAGCAATATACTGTGCTCTTTCAAAGGTGAGATAAAATATGAAAAGGGACCAACAAAAATCTCAAGTGCTAAAGCTTGTGGATGTGTTTCAAAGTGTCATCCAGTTAGAGAATATAAAATCAATAGTGCCTCAAATCCAATCATCATCTGAGAAATCACTACAAGAGCAGGATTTTCACACAAAATCAAGGTACTCATGTCACATACCTTATGCTACTGATGGAAAGCAGATCATTTGCAAGTTCTCCTGCCAGTCCTAAAAAGAGCTGCAACTTGCTCATGATGCAACCTGCTCCATGATACAGCTGGAGATGTTTCAATGCTTGCTCTTTAAGCACTGATGCATTTGACGAGAGGATTCACTCAGCACCTGACTTGCCCTTTCTCTGAACAGTGAACAAACTTCTTGTGCACAGAAAACATTTGTGTCAGACCAATTTCTGACACATATCCACAGCAAACCAATGCAGATGATCTCCTTTACCAGCTTCAGTTCTCCTAGGTGGCAGTTTTCTTTGAGAAGGTTCAAAGAACTCTCAATACTCAAACATGACAATGACTGTCCCAGATGCACAATTTCATGGTCCTGACCATTCAACAGCACATGCCCAGGAAGAGAATTCAAGAGCAGAGTAATAGGTGATAGTTCACTGATATGCTCTCCCAGCTTTCATATATTTGGAGTCCAGGAATTTTTGAAGATGTCTGACAGATGTTGACAGACTTTCTGCCATGAGTTCTCAAAGTGCTTTTAAAATCCACATAAACCTGAAAGATTTGCATAACTTTCTTCCTGCAGATTTCCAATAAAAACACAACCCACTACTGATATAAAGGGTATCAATGAGTAGTCCAAGGCCTGTCCTTTAGTTTTCCTGTTGTTTCAGAGGTCAGGAATGAACAGAAGCCTACAGGAGGGGGGAAATGCCTCTGAACACAGAACCTGGTGGAAGCCTGAGTATAAGTACACACGTGCACTTACCATCAGGTTCCTGAAGGGTCCTACATGGCTGCTACGGCCAGCTGGATCCTCCACTTGGTCTAAACAAGAAAGATACAGGAATGAAACACAGGGAAAGTGAAATGGAAACAATGACAAAAGAATAAATGAAGGGCAGAACTTAATATCTGTGTATGTGCTTTAGAAGAATTGTAAAAGAAAGATGCAAAGGAAAATGAATTAAATAAACAGATGGAAAGTAGGAACTCGTTTGTAGTGATGGAGATCAAAAGAGGAATTAAATCAATTTGCAATTTGTCTTGCAATTTTCAATAAGATTCCTTTTTCTCTCCTCTCCACTTCTGCTGTAAGATAGCTCAGCCTTCACACCTTTACAATCCCTTTATAACACTGCACAGACACAGGAGAACTCCTGCTACTGCCAATGCCCAGGCCATCAGGACTCCCACTAATTTCGGAGCAGTTCAGATAGCAGAGTAACAGTGTAAGAGAGAAGTAATCCTTATTGCCCATACTTCATTTTATTGATAAAACCAAGACACCTCTGAAGAACCTACAGTCAGACTTTTGTTGTTAACCAAACTCCTAATGGGACTATTAAAGCACTGAGTTATTTCTGGTGGTATGGAATAAGCACACTCAGGAGCTGGGAGGGAAGATGTTTAACACAATATTTCCATATACTTGGAGCTGAACTCTATAATTAAATATTGCTTAACTGTACAAGATGTCATTGTCTTTAATAACCTTTAACTGCAGCACCAAACATGTTCACAGTTAAGATCATAAAGTAAGAAGGACACTCACACCTGAGCTCAAACATTGCTTCAATTTCTTACAGAAATACAGAATGTGGACATTTGCCTCCCCAAAGATTATAAAGAATGGAATAAAAATTAAGTGAATATTCAAGCTAAAACATTCTTTTGGAAAATTCAGCAGAAAACAACTGCATGAACATTTCCATATTCTTTTGATTAATGAATTTTAATATACTGATACAACTTGAATTTCAATTTGAGAAACAGCTTGCTATGCACCAAAATTCATCTGTTCCTGTATCCAGAATGCTGGTTGATGTCACGTTTTTCAAAATAAATTCCTTAAACCTTCAGGCATCAGTAAAAATCTGAGTAGTTGTTTGTTCTGCAGACAGGCCAGAACACATGAATGCCTTTTTCACACATAGAATGTTATACCCGAAAGAACAGCAAAAACTGCTTCAAAAAATTAAATCCAAGTTGTGTTGGCTGGAGGAGCACGACAAAATGCATAAACATGTTGCAGTGACTTCTTAGAATCTCATCCAACTGTGAATGGCACAGCACATGGGTGTTAAAGACCTTATTTAGTAAGTTGAACAGTAAGGTAACTAAACTGTTTAATTCAAAATGCTCATTATTAAGATGTGAATACTAAGGCTGTTCTTCTAATGTGTTCCCCTGTTTGCATTTAAGAGTCTTAGTTTTGCTATTTGTGGTTTTTTGGTTTTTTTTTTTTAGTTCTTCCATTATTCACAAAATCTTTCATTATTCTCTACCAGCACCTGTTCACACAGCAAAGCCAAATCAAAAACCACCTGGCTAAATAAAGGGCAACACAGCACTGTAAATGTGTGTAAAGGGCTGCTCTGGGCCACTGAGACAGCCAAGAATTCCCAACGTTTAGGGAAAGCTGGAAAGCACAACATGCCTGAGATATATTTTAAAAAATGAATGCATGAGAGGATTATTCATATAATCAGGGGTATTACAGAAATTTGCCAAAAACATGACCTCAAACCCAGAAAT